GTCAATCCAATGCATTTGAGATCTTTTGAACCTTGTGAATGGGTCAAGATGATGACATTGAGTCCTTGAATCCATTCTTGAACCCAATTCGCCATTGGCTAGGTGAAAAATTAGAAATTGCCCTTTTTGCAGTCAAAACCCTAAAAATGACCATTTTGCCCTTTTGATGATCTGATCAAATTTCTTGAGGAGTTGTGGTCCAAACTTGATCAAATGGTTCATATGAGTCTATAATGTTGATATGGATAAAAAATTATGAGGTTTGACTGTAAATTGGCCACAATTGACTTTTTTTCCAATACAACTGATTTTTAGGTCAACTGTCCAATTGATTGGGCAAAAATTTGATTCAAAGCTTGAAACTTGGTAGGGGCAATCTTATAAGTCCAACATGAAATATGAAAGTCACTTTGAGCATTGAAAGTCCAAAAATCCCTGTGCAAACTCAAACCCTAATTTAGGTCATCAGTGCAAGGAGATGTCTTGAGCAGAGCAAACCCTAATCCTGTTTGGAGTTCAAAGAGTCTTGTGAGGGGAAATATTGATAAAAATGAGAGAGAAAATTTTGGAGTACAACAGCTACATTTATCTATGATGTTTTCTATTTGTAGTTTGTACAAAGTTTACATGTATTTCATGTAGCTTGTGTTTTGTTGCTTTGTGGTTTTATTCCTTATCTCCAGGTTTATTGTGCAAAGGTTGTTTTAGCTAAAATTTGTCAAAGGGGGAGATTGTTAGGTCTGTAATTTTATGATTGGCAACAATTTTGGTAAAACATGTTTCATTTGGGAAAATATGTATCACAACCCGATGTTGAGCAATATGTTGTGACATCTCGGACAACTGTCATAACAGGTGTTGCTGCCTCTAGATGTTGAGCAAGATATTGTGACATCTTTGCCAACTAATATAGAAGATTGTGTTGTTACTTTCTTGACATATTTGATTTGATTTTGTGAGATTCTCTTGGATACATCTCATTTATTTGCGCAGTCCAAGAAGATTTTATTTGGAACAATTAATTTCATCTTCAGCTGTACATTAGTTTCTAAAATTAGATGTTGAGATAATTTAGGAAACTTATGATGTTTTATTCCAAGATTCAAGGAGATTTTTCTGCATAATTGGTGCAGTCGCCAGCTTGTGGATCTACAACAAACTGGGCAGAGAATTATAAGCCTAAGGAAAGCTGAGCTCTTTAAAAGGAAAAACCTAAACCTAATGATAGGTGTGAAAAAATAAGGAGAAGTTATTCTACAGGAGTCTTAGGGTTTGTGAGTCTTTTTCAGAGTACTGTGTTTTTGTGTATGTCACTCATGTATCATGCTAATACATAGAGTTTAATTGATTGTTCATTGTTCATTGTCAATCACTCATGATCTTTTAAGCAAAGAGTGGATTGTGTGTAATTGGAAGTGTGGTCTTCTATTTTGTTCTGTTGTTATTTTCATTAAGTTGACTGTGGAAAGTGAGAGGGATTTCACATATCTTGGAGGTTCCAAGGTAGAAGTTGCATAAGGTAGTGATTAGGTGATAAGTTGTAAACTAGGGTTGAGCATGCTTTTATCATTGGCAAATAGTTTCACATATGTGTTAACATATCTGTGTCTCTAAATACCGCTCAAATCGCATTATTTTCCTTGAGAATATGCCATTTCTACTTGGACAAAAGGGCTCTATTAAAAGATTAGACATCTTTAATAACAAGACCGCTACACGATTTTGGTTTGTAAACCGAATTCCAACTCACTCAGTGAATATATCTCTTCATCTTCGTCCCGCTCCACAAAAAATTACCTTGAATACTTTGAATCTGCTTGATAACCTTAGATGGAGCTTTGTAAAATGACAATGAATACAAGGTAAAGCATTCAACACTAAATTAATTAAAACAACTCGACCACCAAAAGATAAGTGTCTTCCCTTCCATGAAGAAAACCTTCTTCTGAAATCATTCGCTATGTCCTTCCACATGCATTCTTTCCTAGGACTATCCCTTACCATAATACCCAAAAATTTAAATGACATTGATCTGATGCCACAAGTAAGGAGCTTAGAGGTTGCATAGATATTTCAACCACACACATTAATTCTGAAAATATTACTCTTGTAAAAATTGACTTTTAACCATGACATTAGCTCAAATCCCCTCATAATCGCCTTAACACCCCACAAGTTGTCTAAACTTCTGTTTCCCCAAATAATATTACCGTCCACAAATTGCAATGTGTCCATCGATTCCTCTTCATTAATTTGAAAACCTTTGAACTCACCTATCTTGACAGCTCTTTCCATTAGACCCGTTAGACCTTCCATGGCGATAATAAACAAGAAAGGAGATAACGGATCTCCTTGACACAACCCTTTTTCCACTGGAAAATCCTTTGTTGCACTACCATTCATTAAAATCAACATTGTGCTTTTGAAAATGCATGCTTCCATCCATCTAAGTCAAAGTTCCCCAAAACCATGTTTCTCATAATGAATCTCATGTAATTCCAACTAACGCTATCGTATGCCTTCTCGTAGTCAACCTATAAAAACATAAACCTCATTTTCTCCCTTTTTTTCCAAATCTATCACTTCATTAACGGTTAGTACTCCATTCAAAATGTTTCGACCCGAAATGAAGGCTGATTGCTTGGTAGAGATAAGCTTCCTTATAACCCTTTTCAATCTCATAGCCAACAGTTTAGCAAGAATTTTGTAAAGACAACTGACAAGACAAATCAGTCTATATTCGGCCAAAACATGAGGATTATTATCCTTAGGAATTAAAGTTAAAAAAGCAGCAGTAACAACCTTTGTTAAACGAGCCTTAGAATGGAAATCCCTAACAAAACGAAACACATCCTCCTTGACCACCTTCCAACAATTCTGAAAGAAAGCAAAAGAAAATCCACCTGGCTTTGCACTCTTATTGTTGTCGCAACTCCAAACCGCCTCTTTTATCTCTACCTCAGTGAAAGGTTCTTCAAGACACCTTCTATCATAATCATTCAACAAATTAAAATTGATACCTTCGGGGACCGATCTATTGAGATTAGATTCCTTAAAAAGCTCTCGAAATATTTCTTAACCTCAAGCTTCAGCTCTTCAAATCCTTTCACTTATCCATTCAAATTCTCCACCATATTAATGAAATTACTTCTATACATTTCCTTCGAAAGGACAGTGAAAAAACGGGTGTTTTGGTCTCCGTCTTTCAACCAGGCTTGTCTAGATTTCAGTTGTAACATACTCTCCTTCAATTTCAATTTACTCAACAAATCATTTGAAACCTTAGATCTATCATCAACAATGTTATTGATTAATCCCCCAATGTTGTCTATAAGGAGTTTATCTAATTCATTCAGCTCCGAAACATTGTTTTCCACATGCAAATCTAACCATCCGAAAACAGCTTTGTTCCAATCTTTCAAACAAGTTTTCAGCCCTTTAAGTTTTTCATGAAGAATGAAATCTCCTCTCCCTTTAACCTCTATCTTGCTCCATTCCTATTTAACAAAATCAACCAGATCATGATGCTGAAGCCAACAGTTGTTAAATCTGAATGGTTTCGGCCCCCCAATTGGGTTTTCCAAACTTGAGCCAAATGGGGGAGTGATCCGAAATAACCCGATCCCCGACCCATTTCCATGTGATCTTCCATAAGTTGATAAAAAGAGAATGGTCGACAAATGAATAATATGACATTGTTTGAAAAGAAAATGAAGAAACGAGGAAGATGGTGGAACATACTCCTTCTTTCACCGCCGCTGCGTACTTATGAGGGTGTGTGTCTTAACTTGGAAATGATTGAAATTAGGAGGAAATGCAAGACTTTAAAACAAAAAATGGTTGTGCTTTTTCATGTAAAACTAATGTTGTTGATTTTCACATTACTTCTTACAAGAATAAGGGCCAAAAACCCATAACCTTTTTTTAATAAGCACTATTGATTTTCACGTGATTTTGTGTAAAAAATAGGGCTTCTTAGACCATCTCCAATGGGAGAACATTCTTAAGTTTCTTATGTCATATTTTGTGGGTATAAATTGCCACATTGAATTTAAGCAATCCATAAGTAATCTCAATTATTTTTACCAAATAAGCAATATATATTTGACCCACCAATTTATATTATTATATTTATAATATAAGAAAACTCACTCTACATTCTCCTACAATTTGCCACCTGACTGCCTCATAGCACACTTCTTTTTTCCTAAATTTTGTTAATTTATTCTTTCCACTTTCTTCCACTTCCAATGTTCGGAGGTTATATGATTTTGCTCATTTACTCTTTCCACTTCCAATGTTTGGCAGTTATACAATTCAATGGTTTGAGAAATGTTTCACTCTCCTTATTCCATATTCAAAAATGATTTTATCAACCATTACTCTTTCAACCTCCCTTCTCTGATTTATTTGCTACATTTACTCTATTATGTGCTTTCGTTTCATTTTTCTCTATTCTGTGCGCATTGTTTGATTTTCGATTCGAAATTTGCGTGTTTGGTTTTACAGCGAACAAAGAATAAGAAATTTAGATGAATTTTTAAGATTGATTAGGGATTGGATTCGTGATATTGCTATCTGGTTTTTGATTTTGTTTTGTTTTTTATTTTTGTGATACCTGATTCCTCTGGTATTGATTTTTGTTTTTGTATTTTGTTGAGATTGTTCTGGTTTTAACGTTTGTGATATTGTTCTGGCTTTAGATCTAGAGTTTTGATTCATAATTTGGTTAATGGTATTGCTTTAAGTGAGATTTGGTGGCAACTTTAATGGAAAATTGTATGAGAGTTTTAGTGTCTAAATGATTTGTTGATTGATGAATGTCATTTGTGAGTCAACTGAATTTGGTGAAAGCGAGTGTAGATATGTCTACAAACTTTCAATCTTGGACCTATCTTACAACAAGATCACAAGTACTCTTATAGTACCTGGAAATCTTGATAATCAATCTTGTGTCTTTAAATGTTTCCTATAATAGATTTTCCGGTACTCTTCCAGACATGAAGTTCTTCCAAGATTTACCTTTCGTTGTGTTTGTCGGTAACCCTGATCTTTGCATTAACAACGAGTGTCGTGCGAGCAAAAGTCTCGAAGGAAACAAATCAATAAGAAATATTATCATCTACACTCTCCTTGGTGTTATTTTAACTTCTGCTGTTGTAACTTGTGGAGTTATTTTGGCACTAAGGATTCAAGGGGACAATTCTTATGGGAGAAATAATTTCGATGAAGTTGAAATGGAATGGCCATTCATTCTATTCCAGAAGTTTAACTTCAACATCAACGACATCGTGTCAAAGTTGTCGGATTCAAATATCGTCATAAAGGGTTGCTCGGACGTTGTTTACCGCGTAGAGACTCTGACGTTATTACAGGTATGCATAGTTGTATTAGTAGAATATTACATTAATGTTAAAGAAGAAGAATTTAACGTGAGTGACTTTCATGATAAAAATTATATTCAATTCAATTGTGGAATGATAGAAAATTAGAGTTTGATAAAAAAAAATTGTATTAGCTTCATCTCTGAAAAATAACGGTTCAGTATTCTAAGTGGCACTAATCATTGTGGAATTATAAGTTTACTGCTTCCTATATATTAAAATCAGAATGTTCAAAGGTTAAAGATGAATTTGAGCCGCTTGTGATCTCATATTCTCTTACTTTCTTTTCTTAAATAAATTTCAATAGTTTTTGTGATTGTCTAATATTATTTATTTCACTATGGTGCATAAAAATGTAATTAGAAATCATGGTTCACTTCTAGACCTACAAGTATGGATAAACGGAAACATCCTACAGGTAATAGTTGTTTTTTTTATTTTGGGATTTTTTAACGATTATATAGAGTGTATAGAGAGTATAGATCGGGGAGTCATAGCGATACGTTTGAAGTAGGCGTAGGAAACTTGGAAGTTATGTACTCTGGGAAGGACGTGAAACTTACTCAATATATGAACAGAAAAAAAAGAAGGTATATGATTTGGGAATTGGATGACATATAAAACATTGTTAGTGCTGCTAAACATTGTATGAAGAAATAATCTGCAAAATTAAAACTCTTGCAATTAGGTATCCTGTGATTATAGATTTTATTTTTATGCCGCTGATGCAAATCAGCGATTTTTGGTTGTGCATTGAGTAAATATTTATTTTATGTTCATCTTCATGTACTCATATAAGGAAATGCAGTACTTTTGATTAATAGATGATTCAATATGTAGGTGAATGTTGTAAAAGGCATTTGAAAGGCATCTGCAGGTGAATTTCCACACTTTATTGTAAGGATTTAGACGAGACCCTTATGTCTTCATATCTTAGTAGGATTCAAACAAGATAAGAAGAGGGTTATATGAGACTCTTATGTCTTCATATCTCAGTAGGATTCAAACTTGTCCTTATCCTGCTTTTTGGGTTAGTGAATTAATCTTCTGCCAGGTTGCAGTGCAACTCCTCACTTCCAAAACCAGTTTTAGGTACCATATTGTGATTTATGACATTTAAGGATATTGGTTTACAGCATCAGCAGCAGCACCTGCAATCAACTCTGGTGGTGATTGTCCTAACTCATCGTCATTGGTTTACGGGAACTGTGAATTAATTCAGCCTTACCAAGGTCTTCGACCTGGGATTTTCTTCAAGATGTCACATTAAATTTATAACTATGGAGAACGGTATGCATCTTACTTGTATCAATGGTATTTCTTCGTCATGTGTTCATTGTTATTCTTACTTTTATAGGGTGGCAAACAAGTTCTTGGCACCAATTTTTATAAGCAAAGCAATGTGTAAGGAGGGAGTATGCGCTTCATTCTGCATCTTCTAGGTGCATAATAGGATTCCATTTCTATCCAATATAGTCTAATTGGACATGTTGCTAACACTGTAATTGAAGATGTAACAAATAAATACTGTGAGATTGAGTGAATTTTCTGTTTTCTGTGCCATATGTAATTTATTGATTGAATGTTAACTCTCGATCTAAAAGCACTGCACCTTTGGCGTTAAATTTATGTTTCCTTGAGCTTACATGAAGTTGATTATTTTGCCAAAATCAATTGAATTCGGACCAAAACCTGAGATGGAGTTTTGGTCAAAATTGATTTATTTTGATGGATATTATTGAGACTTTATTGTTTTGGTGTATGAATCCAACAAAGAAGTATGAACCTCTTATCATGTCAACCAGAGGCCTAGAGCATTAATTCCCAAAACATTTCATGACATTAGATCTTTTTGTGATATTTCCAATAATTTAAAACTTAAAACTTTTTTATTTGACGCTTGCCAATATTTCAAGCTTTCTCATCTAGGCTTTGTCACATTGCCTAAGTTGTGAACAATGCAGAGAGATAATGCAGATTACATGTTATGAGAAGAATAATAACAGGTATGTGATGGCATCAACAAAAGATGCTTTCAAATTCGCTTCTCGTAAATCTTCACGTGCCCAACCATGGTGGAAAACTACAGATATAGATGAATTAATCTACTTGGTTTCTCAGAAATTGCTCAATCACGTTGAGAGTTGTGACCTTCCACCTCCTCCTCGAAAAACATATCTTGAGGCAAAGGAAAATTTGGACTCGGGATTGATGCATAGAAAGACAGAACCTTCATCCAATCAAGGACATTTCTATATTTCTTTTGACAAATCCTCAAGGTATTTTATTTTCATTTATGGTGTTTTATTAAGTGATTAAGGTTAACTTTCATGTTGATTTGCTTAAAATAAGCAATTTTGTTGCAGTTATAGTGCTATTCATGAGAGTGACAATGAAGAAGCTTTTGAGGGAAACCAAAGCAAAGCTCAATTGATGGAAGCGTTGCGTTATTCACAAACACGCGCGAGGGAAGCCGAGGAGTTAGCGAAACTGCCTTACGCTGAGAAAGAGCATATTATTGCACTATTTTTTTATACAAGCTTCACATCTTTTTGCATACAAGCAATGGTGTAGACTGTTACGTTTTAGGATGGACTATTGGGTGGATGTTATCTCGTATGTAGTTTAGTATAAAATTGATAAATAGAGAAAGAGTTCTAATTTATTTGATTAGAATGTAGTTTTTGTAAATTTTGTTAAGTTTTTAATATATATATATATATATATATATATATATATATATATATATATATATATATATATATATATATATATATATATATATATATATGAATGTTTTTTTGAATAACTATGTATTAAAAAAAAATTTCGCAAATAACTACGTTTCGAAAAAAATTACGCAAATAACCATGTTTCAGATGACTCCCCAAAGGAGGAGTCATCTCACTTGGCGCCTACACCCATTATTTAAGGGGAGACGCCATCTCACTTGGCGCCTAGGTGCTTAGGGCATGCCCTAAGCCAAGTGAGATGGCGCCTTAGTGCAATTCTAGGGCAAATTTCACGTTTTTTTTCCAATCCGGTGCGTTGCGTATTCGATACACGATCAACAAAATTAACTTTTTATTAAAAAAAATGATTACACTCATATGTATTACATTAAAAAAAACAGATAAAAAAAATAGATAAATCAGTGATTCCCCAGAACCCGGTAATGACCTCGGGTTCCGCATCCCCGTCCTCGTCTTTCCCGTGCTGGGTGTCGTCGCGTTTCCTGCTGTGGCAGGGTCGATGGCCCAGCGAAGTCAATGCGTTCCGGATCCATGAAATAAGTCAGATCTCCATATCTAGAAGATCCGCTTTGGTACAGTCGGTTACCCATACCCTCAAAGTTTGGTCGTGTTGGCGGTGGGTGGGGTTCCATAGTGGGTCAGTAGCATTGATCGTCTGAGTACGGGGGGTAGAAAGGAAATGGATCTTGGGGTATTTGGTATTGAAGATGTTGGGTGGTTTGGTGATACTATGGTTGATGGTAAGTTGGATCGGTTGGTTCGTAATTTTCCGACATTCCCAAATCAGGGCTAAGGCTGGATGTTGAGGGGCCCATATTGGGATATACAGAAGACTGAAATTGTGTGTGGGGTATGCGGGTGTGTTGGTATTGTGATTGGTATTGCGGTTGGCTGTGAGGCATATTGGGGTATTGGTACTGAGGTGGTGATTGTGGTTGGTTGTGGGGCATTTGGGTGTAATTGTGCTGTGGTGGGGACTGTGGTTGAGTGTTTGTGGTTCTGTTTCGTCTGGGGGGTTGGTGGGAGGTTGATGTGTGTTGGGTTTGTTGTTGGGGAAACGAGGGTTGTGCCCATTGTGTTCGTGGGTCAACCAAATAGCTTGGATGAGACACGTGCATTTCAGGGTTACTAACCAACCTGTACCAAGATAAATACTGATCCGTGTGTCGCATATTACCATGATGAGGAAAATCGGGAATTGCAAGACATGTCAGTGACGCCTCTGTCACATCTTACACTATTCTGGAGCAAAGTCTTTCCAGTTGGTAAGACCCCACTGGGCGTCGACCCTTTTGAGATGCCATGGAGACAAACAAGTCGGATCACTTGGTATCTCTTGATGCATTCCGAATTGCATCTTCACACGGTCGCTGTGGTGCATCTCCACAACATTGAACCGTATAATTGCAGTCTTGGCGCTCCAAATTGCTGCATCCTCGGGGTTTGGTTCATGGCCCAAACCCAAATATGGTCTCCAGACAAACTGCGAAAAAAATTAAATCAGGTTAATGAAAACGTAATATATAAATAATTTAAATGAAGAAAAGTTGAAAGGTACGACGTACATCATCCGGGCCTAGGTGATCCAACAGATTGCGGTATAGTGCGATATTGAATCTTGGATTCTTGCCGTAATCCATACCCCTCACGCAATACCTAAAGGAAATGAAAAACATTTTATTTTTAGCATATATTTGGTGAAGAGATGAATAGTAATAAATGATATAACTTGATGAGTTACTTTGTTGCGTACGGGAAAACAAAAGTATTGTTGTTGACGGGGTTTAAGGACTCCATCCTCCACCAACCCCAGGCTTGTAGTAAAAAAGCGCAACCATAAAATATACATTTTTCCTTGACTGCATTTTTGCACAAGGAACTGTATAGGTGGGCTAAAACTGTAGAACCCCAACTATACTTTCTTGTTTTTTTAAAATCTCTAAGTAAATGTAAATACATAAAATTTACACTATTTCCCGTACTTTCGGGAAATAAAAAGGTTCCAAATAGTATCATTAGATAAGTTCTGGCTTTTACTACCCTGTCTTACTCGGAGGAATTTTCGTTTAATTCCAAACTTGCATAATGATTTTTAAGCTCAGTGAGTAGTATACCCTAACCTCTCGCATCACCACCCTCAACCATATCCCTGCCCAACAATTCTTCACACTGAGAATTGGGTTATTGAACCGATCCGTTAACGGCCTTACCGTTGACAGGGAGACCCAATAACATGTACACATCCTCTAGCATGACGGTACATTCACCTATTGGTAGGTGAAATGTATGGGTCTCTGGTCTCCACCTTTCCAACATTGCAAGAATGAACTTAGAATCAATTGTGCAGTTGGAGATCTTTATAACATGTCTGAAACCTGCGTATTCCAGATATGGTACGATAAATGGGTCGGGAGCCAGGTAGTTGTGAGACCAGATTCTGAATCTTTTGGTATCCTGAGTTCATAATGTAAAAGGTGTAAGATTAAGTAAGATGAACAAAGCATTATCTGAAGTATAAAAAATGTATAACCAAAATAGAAACTAACAAATGCGGCAATATTGTCCCTTGTGCCTCTGCGAGAATCGCCCATTGTGAAAAGAGCCATTGTTGAAAATGCCTGAGATTATGAAAGACTTAGAAAGTGTAAGAGATTATGAAAGACTTTGTAGCAGAGAGTGAGACGATTGTGGGTGTGAGAGAAGTATGTTATGCTCTGTATTTATAGGCAAACAATTTTCAGAGTAAGTGAGGTGGTAGCTGGTGCATGCATGCATGATAAATGTCACTCGTGCAGAGTAGGCACAGCTAGGTGGCAGCCTTGGAGATCTCTGCATGCATGTAACACGATTGGACATTAAGGGAGGCGCCATTAGACTTGGCAAAAGAGTTCAAAAATTAAAGTTGTCGCCATCCCCATTGGCGAATAAGAGGTGTCATGGGTTGCAGAGTAGGCGCAGGCTAGGTGACAGCCTTGGGGATGCCATGCCTGAATGCATGTAACACTATTGGAGGTGATGGGAGGAGACTTACAAGTAACAGTGTAGGTGCAGAGTAGGCGCAGACTAGATGGTAGCCTTGGGGGTTACATCTCTGCATGCATGTAACACGATTGGACATTAAGGGAGGCGCCATTGGACTTGGCGAAAGAGTTCAAAAATGAAAGTTGTCTCCATACCCATTGGCGAATAAGAGGTGTCATGGGTTGCAGAGTAGGCGTAGGCTAGGTGACAGCCTTGGGGATGCCATGCCTGAATGCATGTAACACTATTGGAGGTGATGGGAGGAGACTTACATGTTACAGTGTAGGTGCAGAGTAGGCGCGGGCTAGGTGGCAGCCTTGGGGGTTACATCTCTGTATGCATGTAACACGATTGGACATTAAGGGAGGTGCCATTGGACTTGGCGAAAGAATACAAAATTGAAAGGTGTCGCCATCCCTATTGGCGAATAAGAGGTGTCATGGGTTGCAGAGTAGGCGCAAGCTAGGTGACAACCTTGGGGATGCCATGCCTGAATGCATGTAACATTATTGGAGGTGATGGGAGGAGACTTACATGTTACAGTGTAGGTGCAGAGTAGGCGCAGGCTAGGTGGCAGCCTTGGAGGTTACATCTCTGCATGCATGTAACACGATTGGACAGTAAGGGAGGCGCCATTGGACTTGGCGAAAGAGTACAAAAATGAAAGGTGTCGCCATCCCTATTGGCGAATAAGAGGTGTCATGGGTTGCAGAGTAGGCGCAGGCTAGGTGACAGCCTTGGGGATGCCATGCCTGAATGCATGTAACACTATTGGAGATGATGGGAGGAGACTTACAAGTAACAGTGTAGGTACAGAGTAGGCGCAGGCTAGGTGGCAGCCTTGGGGGTTACATCTCTGCATGCATGTAACACGATTGGACATTAAGGGAGGCGCCATTGGACCTGGAGAAATAGTTCAAAAATGAAAGTTGTCGCCATCCCCATTGGCGAATAAGAGGTGTCATGGGTTGCAGAGTAGGCGCAAGCTAGGTGACAGCCTTGGGGATGCCATGCCTGAATGCATGTAACACTATTGGAGGTGATGTGAGGAGACTTACATGTTACAGTGTAGGTGTAGAGTAGGCGCAGGCTAGGTGACAACCTTGGGGGTTACATCTCTACATGCATGTAACACGATTGGACATTAAGGGAGGCGCCATTGGACTTGGCGAAAGAGTACAAAAATGAAAGGTGTCACCATCCTCATTGGCGAATAAGAGGTGTCATGGGTTGCAGAGTAGGCGCGGGCTAGGTGACAACCTTGGGGATGTCATGCCTGAATGCATGTAACACTATTGGAGGTGATGGGAGGAGACTTACATGTTACAGTGTAGGTCCAGAGTAGGCGCATGCTAGGTGGCAGCCTTGGAGGTTACATCCTTACTTAATTCAAATTTAGTATGACCTATTTAGTCTTACATTTATCAAAACACTGATTCACTTAATATGTCAAACCTTCAAACCTTCAAACCTTCATACAATCAAACCTTCAAACAATCAAACATACAAACCTTCGAATAAATCATAAACTTCAAACATTACAACCTTCCAACCTTTAAACCTTCATACAATCAAACCTTCAAACCTTCAAACAATCAAACATACAAACCTTCGAATAACTCATACACTTCAAACATTCCAACCTTCAAACCTTCAAACCTTCAAACAACCCTACGCAATGGCCTCTGCGCCCCAATATGTCATCAATGCACATTTCAACGCTGAGACATACATTTGTCCCACCTCTGGATTTTTGTTTAGAGACACAAACAACATCCTATTTCTTTTAAACGGGAAAGC